GTGTGTGTGTGTGTGTGTGTGTGTGTGTGTGTGTGTGTGTGTGAATGAATTTATTTATTTATTTTTAGCTCCCACCAATAAGTGAGAACATGTGGTATTTCTCTTTCTGTGAATGGCCTTAGTTTTTGAACTTTGATAAGCATATGAGACATTCAACTGCAGAGCATGTTAAAGTTCAAATTCCCAGGCCCATCCCTAGAGATTCTGATTCAGCAGGTATCTTCCACATTCTGAAAAATACTGGCCCAAGGGCTGACCAGTTAGCTCAATTGATTAGAGCATGGTGCTGATAACACCAAGGTCAAGGGTTCAGTCCAGCTGCCAAAAAAAAAAAAATACTGGCCCAAATTTCTTAGCCTAGTTTGAAAGGCATATAGTAATCTAGCCCCTGATTATTTTTCCATTCTTATCTCTGGCCACACCTCTACTTGAGTCTTATACTGTTCCCTGCTGGCAAGCCAAATTCAGACTGCTGCCTGTTTTTGTAAACAAAGCTTTACTGGAACATAGCCATACCCATTCTGCCTATGGTTGCTTTATACAATGGCAGAGTTGAGTAACTGCAACAGAGACCACATGACCCACAAATATTTACTGTCTTGGCCCTTAACAGAAAGTTTGTCAATTAGAGATGATGCTTTTTATGCATCTCTAATCCTCACCAAAGCCTGCAAAGAAGGTATTAGCCTCATTTAACAGATAAGAAAACGGAATCTCAGAAGGTTAAACAACTCAGCCAAGATTTTTTTCCCCTTTCCAACTAGCCTAGTAGATCTACTCAGTCAGTATTTGAGCTCTGCTACTTAGCACTTTCCCAAGCCTCAACTTTCAGATGCCCAATCTATCTCTTGCTTTATTTGTCCCCTTTGCTATTATATGTATGCTCTGGCTGATTTGCTCAACTGGAGCACATTAATTAATAATACCTAGGTACATCAAGGCAATCTTAAAAACACTCTGTTCCCATTCAATTCAGTCATTACTAACTAGTACCTTATGCTGTATTAGGCACATTGCTAGATGCTTGGGAGGCAAAGACATACCCCATTCAAATCTATTCTGCTCTTACCCCAAGAGGCTAGATGACAGAGTGTGAAGAACTTTTAGCAAACTCATTTATTACCACTGGTGAAAACAACTCAGAATATGGAATCTTTTTAAAGGGAAGTCCTCACATCATCATCACGTTTCCTGACCTGCTCGTGAAAATACTACCTCTCTATAACTGCTGCTCCTGCCCACTGTCCTCTTTCTGTTGCTCTGGCCTTGCCGTCAGCCAGTTTGTCATCCTTTATGCTCTCTCTGGCACAGCTGCCATACTTGCAAGCTCCAACCCTCACCTTCTGTTATACTGAAGAAAACAAAAACAGAACAACTGTGACCCATCCATACACAATGTGAGGGAAAAGTGTGTTTTGTGTGAGTATGTCTGTATATACTATATATAATTTTGTGGGGTTGTAACATCTATGGCACAGAGAAAGTCAGGATTGAGAACTGCTAAAGCCTTAAGGGCTGTTTCACATGCTTGACTGCTGTAGAAGTAGTCCAGTGTTGCTGTTTACGGCATTTTAATATTACTCATCCACAACTACAACACGCATTCAAAGTGAAAGTAGTGTACTCCAGAGGCACTATCCATCCAGAGACATTTGAAATAAATTTTCTTTTTGGTAATCATTAAGATTTTTAAAACTGCTGGTTTCTAAATACGCTCATAAAAACAATGAATTAATATAGAATGAGAACTTAATTCATTTTGCTTACCCTGTGTAAAAGAAGTAAGTTATGGATAGCCTACCCTCAAACTTTGCTCTTTTAGGCAAAACAATGAAATTTTATATCCTCTCCCCCACCACTATAGTTTGCTACTTTTAGAAATAACTCCTATGTAATTGTATAGGTAAGTAAAATAACCCCAAATCCTATGTATTTTTCCTGGACTTATTTGAGATTATTGAAGACATTGAGAAAGTTCTTAAAGGTTTCAAAGGTCTGAAAAGGAAACAACTGAAAATTAGGTAGACTATACTATAAGAGTTTAAGTTAAGGAAATTAAAGAATATGTTCTTTTAGCATCCTTAAGCAGCCATAACATTAGTATTATTTTCTGGGAAAAATAACAGATACAGTAATTAGATTTCAAAGTTAGCAATAAAAGATCAACCTAGCAAAGACTTTTATGGAAAATTATTTTCTGATTTTTCTGGACAACTTTCAAAACTCCCCCCCCTCTGTCTTAGAAATACCACTACTATTAGGAAGGGTTTGCTACTTCAGAAGCAATCTGTTCCTTTGGGTGAGTTCCAATTCCACAGTACTGTAGGTTATCCATAATTTACTACCTATAATACTCACAGGTAAGAAAATTCATTCAGTTCTCATTCTTTATTAATTCATTGTTTTTATGAGAAGGGATTTCCCTTCTGTCACTTTTTCAGAAACTTCTGCATGAAGAGGAAAAGAAGATACTGTAAAATAAAACAAGACGCACAGAGGAGTTGGAAAATTTTTCAATCTCTTTGAGGACGTGTGAAACAAAAACTAGGCAGCAGCAAAGTTTTACTCATTAGGTGGAGGGAAAAAGGGCCCCAAACAATGGAAAAAGCTACTACTGGAGTACGCCAAAGATTGCAAAGAATAAGACTCTGGAAAGCGTATGGAAGGACTGATTTGTACTTTAAAAATTTGCAAATTTTATTTTATTTTATTATTATTATTATTATTATTTAAAGATGACCGGTAAGGGGATCTTAACCCTTGGCTTGGTGTTGTCAGTACCACGCTCAGCCAGTGAGTGAACCGGCCATCCCTATATAGGATCCGAACCCAGGGCCTTGATGTTATCAGCACCGCACTCTCCCGAATGAGCCACGGGCCGGCCCTAAAACTTTGCAAATTTTAGAACTCTAATTCCTTAAAATAAAAAAAGTTCAATTCCTCACGAACCCACGGCCTTGATGTTATCAGCACCGCACTCTCCCGAGTGAGCCACGGGCCGGCCCTAAAACTTTGCAAATTTTAGAACTCTAATTCCTTAAAATAAAAAAAGTTCAATTCCTCAATATCCTAAAACATCAATAAGCAAATCTCTGACACTTCTATTTTCATGAAATAAAAAACACTAATGTGGGGCCGGCCCGGTGGCGCACTGGATGGTGCGCCGCTTGGGAAGCGCGGCGGCGCTCCCGTCCGAGGGTTCAAAAAAAAAAAAAAAAAAAAAAAAAAAAAAAAACCACTAATGTGGATATAAAGACAGAAAGAACAGGTCATATATAAATTATGTGAGTTAATTAATAATGAACATTATTATCTTACATTCATAAAGATAAGTGATTTTGATAGGGAAAATGGGATGCTGATGGGATTTTAAGATACATTAACAAGAAGACATTCACTACTTTTCTTAGAGAAGGCTTTCTAGAGGAGGTTAGATTCCACACTCTGGCCAAATAGCAACAGGAGCTTAGCAGCGTGTTCCAACCAACCACAGAAAAATAGCTCAGAGAGAGAGTGAACTGATTGTATGAATGGGGCATTGAGTAAGGGAGCCTGAGAGAAGAAAGGAATAGGGCTGGTTCAGGGTGCACTAGCTAAGGTCTCCAAACTGGACAGGCTGATAGGGGGCAAGGCAGGGCAAAAAGAAAAAGCACAGTAGTTTCTTTACTTATCCTGACAGGCAAGTCAAGGACTAGGGTTTGCAGTACCTGGAAACATAGGCAAACAGGGTTGCCCTGGGAGTAAAAAAATTCCAGAGAAGAGGGCCCTTCCTGAAAAACGCATCCCGGGTGTTCTCTGAATTGTTGGCAGGGTACTATCGGGCAATAACTGGAGAGGCACAAGAATGTCTAAGGCAGGTGTTTCTTGGGTGCTGGCACGTACTGGGCTGAGGCTCAGCGGCGGGACTAGCACTCAGCAACAAGCAGGCGGCGGCGGCAGCTGCGCGTGCAAACCACAAGACTTACCTTACTGTCATCCATCTCGGCAGACAGGCCGGCCTGGCCAGGCGCTCCCTCCCCGGGCCCTCCCCCGGCTCAGCCGGCCCAGCCCGGCCCCCGCCCCAGGGAGGAAGGGGATATGGTTCTGACTGCCGCCTCCTCTCGCCTAACAGTTCGTTCCCCTGATGCCACAGTCACGGGGACCGGACCAATTCAGGAATGGCAGAGCGGACCCTGGAGGCGGCCCCAAACGCCTCCCTTCGCCGCCGCCGCCTCCTCCTCCCCCTCCATGACAGTCTCTGGGGTGTGTTTACAGACACCCTGGAAAGCGGCCGAGCCCGGAGAGCGGGAGGGGGCGCTGTGCACGGCATGATCCTTTCGGCTGCCGTAGCACCGTGGGATTCTGGGGATTGTAGTTTTCCTTACTGCAGTCTCTGCGCGGTTGACAGGAAAGAGAACTACAATGTCCACATAGCCTCAGCCAGGGGCGTCCGTTTTCCTGTTGCCTACCAGCGCGGAGGAGGCGGGGCCGGCCTAGAGGGCCAGACGGCGCTTCCCACACTGCGCAGGCTCTGGCGTTTTGGTCCCTGCGTGCCCGCGGCCTGCTGGGGAGGGGGTTGGGGTCTTGCGGAGGCAGCCCTGGAGGCGGGGCCCTGCGAGCAGGCCGTGCTTCGGCGCGCCGAGGAGATAACTGAGAATGTAAAATAATGCAGCTGCTTTGGGGAACAATTTGGCAGTTCCTCAGAATATTAAACAGGGTAACCTTATGGCCACTCAGGTATATACCCGAGAGAAGTGAAAACGTACGGCGACACGAACACTCGTACACAAATGTTCTCTCCTAGGGAAACAACCCAAATGTCCGTTAGCTGATGAACGGATAAACCGGTTGTGGAATATACACGTAAGGGAATAGTGTTCGGCTGTAAAAAAGAATGCGACACGAACACTCGTACACAAATGTTCTCTCCTAGGGAAACAACCCAAATGTCCGTTAGCGGATGAACGGATAAACCGGTTGTGGAATATACACGTAAGGGAATAGTGTTCGGCTGTAAAAAAGAATGAAGAACACATCCACGCTGCAGCGTTGTGAGCCTTGAGAACATTATGCCAAGTGGAAGAAGCCAGACACGGAAGGCATCATACGGTATGATTATCATGAAATGTCCAAGCAGACGTCTAAAATGACAAAGTCCGTCGGGGGTTTCCGAAGGCTAGGGTTGAGGAACGGCAGGGAGGGCTTACTAGGAACGGAGAGTGACTTAATAGGCACCGGGTTTCTTTCTGAGGTGATGAAAATGTTCTAAATTTGATTTTGGTGATGGTTGCACAAGTCTGTGAATATACTAAAAACCACGGAATTGTACACTTCAAATGAATGGGTTATATCTCAGTAAAGTTATTTAAAAATAACCGAGTGTCTGTGTCCTCATTTAATAAAGTAAGTGAGCTTGTTTTTGTTGTTATTGTTTTAGCCTATGTTAGGCCTTTGAGAACTTCACAAAGATTTTGTATTTATTAATGTTACTCCTGAAACCCCTTCGGCTCACACCTTTTCAAAGACTCCTAAAGTGCTTTGCTAACCCTTCCAAAATTCAACTGAAGTAGAGTTTCCAGATTTAGCAATAAATATACAGGTCACCCAGTTACATTTGAATTTCAGGTTAACAATAAATACCCTTTTAGTATAAGTATATCCCATGCAATATTTGAGACATACTTTAAAAATTATTCATTGTCTATCTGAAAATCAAATGTAACTGGGCATCTTCTATTTTATCTGGCAACTCTGAATTGAGGAGGGATAATAACGAGAAAGTTGAATGGTCTCTGTCTGAGCTACACGGTGCTCCAGAGGACTGCAGTAGGTCAATTCCTCCAAGTGAAGCTGCCCAGCCAGGTCGTGCAGTTGCTAGCGGGTCTGGCATGCTGGGGGTGCAGTGGTCAGGCCTGGGACACACCAGTAACCCCCACACTGCATTCCCCGCGGTCTGCGAGATGCCTACCCCTGTCCTCTCTGACAATCTGGGTGGGCAGAAGTTCGTGCTGGAGCCACTTTCCACCTCCGGCGCCTCCTTCTGAATCCGAGTTCCAGCGTGGCCTGAATCCCACCTTCCCAGCCCTCCCGAGTGAAACTTCCTTTCCCTAGGTTAGGCCTTTGCTACGCTCACTTCCTGCATCCCAACTGCAGTGAAGAAAGTGTCTCTGCTGACAAAAACTCCCCCACGCCTCTGAAATGGCACTGATCCATCCAGTCCTTCGCCTTCAGGAGGCACACGGATGGCCAAGCTTCTCCGCTTCTCCGTTTTGAGCCGCCCAGGCCCAGTCGCCAGCTCTCAGGAGGGAGGACTAAGACCTTTTGAGCCTTGTAGTGTAATCCAAAAAACGTGCCAGGGAAGTACATGTAACAGCTTCAGGAGAGTGGTTATCTCTAGGGAGGGAGGGAGGGAGAGACATGGGGTGGGAGGATCTGGTGGAGCTAGCTGAATATTTAACTATATAGTAAATTAAAGAGATGAAGCAAATGTGTTAAATTTGGTGGTGGTAGGTATGGAGTATATGTGGTATTATTTTCTTTACACTTCTGTATATTTGAAATATTATACAAAATAGGAACTTAGAAATTTTAAAAACTATAAGTAAACCCACTCACTTTAAAAAGTGTGGAAATGAGGGGCTGGCCCATGAGCTCGGTTGGAGCATGGTGCTGATACACCAAGATTCAATCCCTGTACTGGCCAGCTGCCAAAAAAATTAAAAATTTTTTTAAAGTGTGGAAATGCTTTAATTAGAAACAAATTTTAATTGTAAAAATGAATCCTAATCATGTCAGAAAAGATTTTGTAAAAGGAAAAATGTCTTATGGAGCATTGTACAGTCATATGTTAAACATTTGCTGAGAAATACTCAGAATTGATAACAAAGAGGTGAAGAGAGAACATGAGAGTGTATTAGCTCCTATAAGTATAAATCCTCAAGGACTTTATAATCCAGGAGGAGGAAATACACACATACATGAGACTAAGATAACACTAAACAAGGCAACTGGTGAAAAATAATGCAGATCAAGTTAATATCTACGTGCTGATAGCCAAAGTTAAAGGGGTGTTTACAGTGGGTAGGGAGAGCCAAACATCAGACTGATTGGAGCAAAGGAAAACTGAAGACAGCAAATGGATTTTTTTGTTTTAAGGAGGTTGGGGGAAATTTAGAAGAATATGCTTTGAGGATCCTGGACAACCTCCATGTCCCTTGTTCTCAATCCCTTCTTCCTACACCATCTTCTTAAAAGGAACCTCCAAAGCATGCAATTCTTTTAAAAAATATATACATTTCTCTTCCTCCTCCCCACCCCAACACACATACAAACACATTTCATATACTCTTAGACACCCCACAGAGAGGCACTGTTGGCCCATGACACATTAAGCTTCTGCCACTGCTATGGAGTTCCTTGTAGTACTTTCCTAAGTAGCATGGCATGCACACTCCCTCTAGGTCTGCATGCCCTTCATGCCTTCATCTCTCCCTTTCTCTCTCTCTCTTATGGTCCCCTTACTAGGCTGAAAAAGCACAGGTGTCTAAACAGAGCCAAGATCATGTTACTCCCTGGGCCACATGGGTCTGCTTGGGCACATACTCCCTGGGGAACATCAGAGAAAAAGGAAGCTCATTAAAATAGCTTGTTAGGTTCCAGCTGACTTTCCACTTAGTTAGACACATATGAGTCTGAAAATTTCAACATTGTCCAACCCTTTCCAAACTTGCATTGGAAATGAAAATTGTTTGATGTGATTCTGGCATGGAAATTTTTGCTAGACCAACTTCCAATACGATCTAGAAATAACAATAATTTTTTAAAAGGCCTACCAAGAAAGAGACAATGGTGGCCATGAAATCTGCCATAGTTAACTTCTGACCCACTTTACAGCCCACCATAAACTTGGGGAAGAAGGTATCCCAGAGTCATCACAGAAATGACCATTCATTACTTCTCTGTCCTTAGCTTGTCTTTTCAGAGAGTTGATCATCTGTGCCTTAGTGAAAAAGATTCTAAAATGCAGCATGGTTTGCAGAGTGAATGTGCAGATAGTTCAAATCATGACACAGACTGAGAAAGGAAAGGAGGAAAACTATTCAAAGAAAAAAACAAACCACTGATTGAAGAGGGGGTGGCATGAGATTAAGTGAGGAGGGTAAGGGAACAAAAATTAACCTTCTTATAGAAACCACAAACGAGGCAAACAGTACAATATTCTACATTCAGGAATGCCATGGCTACGTTGATATGTAAATCTGGCACTTGAAACAACAGACTATTATTGCTGCTGATATGGTAATCTTCAGAGGTACAGAGAAAAAGTGGGTGGGTCATGTGAAATTCATGAAATGCTTGAGGTGAACTCACTGTTGAAGTATTAGTCATGTTTTGTTTTGTGTGTGGTTCTTTTTCCCAATATATTTTATAGATAAGTATTCCTCTGTACTTTTTGTTTTCTAAAAGTTTAGCTTATTTTCATGAGGCTACAAAATATTCCATCTCAAAAGTTTGTTTTTGTTCTAAAGGCATTTTGCAATATGCCTCCCCTCCTTTGGCCTACACGGACAAATATGCCTACATTTGCATACAGTACAGTACCTATTACTCTCTGCATTGGTTAGAAAGTTCAGAGGCAAGAGTCTAAAGGAACATTTTCAGAGTGAGCACATAACTCAGCCTCCAGCTTGTCAGCAGGAGCAAAATAAATAAACTGAAACAGTCTGTTGACAGGGAAGGAAAGAGAGAATCAGCATAAAAATAAGGAAGAGAAAATGTAGCTCAAGGAACTAAAACCTTCCATCAAATTCAAACTTTCCCTCACTGACATACTAAAAGCTTCGCCTCAAACTCAACAACAGCTGTTCTTAATGCTGTCCTAAATACCCTTTTCTACTTAAAATACTGCTGCTATAAGTCATGTACATATATTACCCAGTGAGAAAAAATAAGTATACCCTTATTTGAGAAAATAATGGGAAATGTATATATTTGGCCAATACGCAACTGTTTAAAACTGAACTACCCTATGTAAGAGACAGCCTGCTAAGCATCACTATTAGTCATTTACACATAAGTATGAATTGCTTCTTTTTTCTCTTGCCTGCAACCTAAAGTTTAGTTTAACATGGAGTTTAGGTGGGGAGAAAGAGAAATATATGGTTTTGAAGGGTAGGTGTTATAA